CCAGTAGTTCTTGAGATTAGCGCGTTCAAACAAACAAACAAACAAACTCTTCAGCTTTATAATATTAGTATAGATTAGTATTAGTATAGATATAATACGCTATGGGTAGGTGGAGCTGTAAAAAGATGGACAACAGTCTATTTGCAGAACTTCGATATCACCTAGTATTTAGATTGTAGAGGTCTGATGGCAATCGCTCCACGTGAAAAATCAAAGTTCAGCCGAGTCATAGTAGCCTGAAAGCCGACCCCAACCTAGTTTTGAAAGAAGGCTTGGAGGATGATGATTATTATCTATACAAATAAATAAAATTGGAGTGTCTGTTTGTAATATTAAAATAACCGCTTTTTACTAAATGCATATGTAAAATCTGGAACGGCTGGACCGATTTCGACAGGACTTTCACTGGCAGATAGCTGATGACATAAGGAGTAACTTAGGCTACTTTTTTTAGACTAGCTTCGCCCCGCGGCGTTGCCCGCGGTTATAACAACAAACGCGGGTAACACCGCGGGTCTCAGCTAGTATGTAAATATATTCTGAAGCATCATATTTCTTCACCATACTAATACGAGTAGTTACAATTTATAAAACTGCAATAAATAAAATTGCACTAAAATGATACTGCCAAAACTTCAGTATATCTGCAGAGACGCATTAAACGGGAAACTGAAAAGTGAGAAACTAAACGGACATCCCCTAACGATATTCTGAACCGTCTATCGATAATATGGCTCCATAATAGGACCTCTGACACTGGCTGACGTGAGCTCCGGAGATAACGTCGCGAATTGCAAATTAAAACGACTTTTATTAACCGTTAGAACATTTTGTTACTCGACCGAAAGCGATTTGATTCGCCATTTAGTTGGTGAAAACCAAATTGTATTATTTTAAGCGTAACATTGCGTTTATAACGATATAAAGGTACATTTTGAAATGTTTCCAACACAAGTGTTACACAATTACAGACAAAACTAATACTTTCAGACAGTGCTTCACATCACATCACATCAACAGCCTTTAATAGTCCACTGCTGGACATAGGCCTCTCAGACAGTGCTTACCTAAATTAAATTTTCTTAAAAGTAACATTGATGGAGCGTCTTTATAACTAACTCAAAAAGTTTGTTACCTTAGAGCTCCGTCATTTACGAAAAGATTTAGAATGATTTCTATAGCTGTAGATGTGCATTTCTGTTATGAATCGCAGTTCGATCCGACTGAAAACCTATTACATAATTCATTCAGTGTACAAATCCAACTCAAGACCTGAAGTTAGCAACTTTGTAACAACTGTACCAATGAGGTCGTCATTTGTGTTTTTCGTGCTCTAAATTAGATTTTTAGTAGCACAACACAGCTTTATGCCACTTAGGGGGCAGGAAATTTCATAAACGTGGCACAAAGTAAGGCGTAGCTTTATTAGGCCCAGATTGTTTCTTCGGTGCGCCGAGTGATGTTTTAGAGAAAGTTTCTGTCGTTTATATTAAGATTTGATGTCGAATGATGGAAATGGATGAATAGTAGATTTTTTTCAACATTATACATATTGTTTTTATGGTGTTGCGGCTAGTAGACATATTATTAGAGTCGTGCTAATGTTTGTTATAATAATTCATGGACTCATTAATGTCCAATAAAATATTTTCATTGTAAATTAATAATTTTACATATTTACATTAATTACTTATTCATTCGGTGTTATTTATTACGTGTATAATAATAAAAGATTGTTTTAAGTTTGTGTTTTAAGAATATAATTTTGTTAGTTCTTTGTTGTCTTTTTAAAAAGAAAAGAAAAGAATAATCAGCAAATGAATAAATTGAAAATATGGTTGTTGTACTAAATGTTTTTATGATGTAATTAGAAATGTATAGTTTTCAGATTGTTCCCTGTATTTCTAGTATAACACAATGTTACTTGCCAAATTTCATAGTTCTAGGTGAACGGGAAGTGCCCTATAAATTTTGATTCTCTTGAGAGTGTTGAAATAGGTGTTTATTGAAGCATATTTTTTTTCGTTAACTTAGAAATTTGATTTTTTTACAGCTTCAAGGGACTGTAAACTTGAGTATATGGTTTAAATTTCAACTCGATACCTCCACGCGTTCTTGAGGTAACGGGTATTGACAGACAGACGGACTGAAGGACAGATAGACGGACAACAAAGTGATCCTATAAGGGTTCCGTTTTTTTTCCATTTGAGATACGGAACCCTAAAACGTACTCAATCTTTTTTAATTTATATTTTAGCAAATATTTACAATGATAATTTTTAACATTTCAATCTGTTGAGCTCAGCCTGTACATACGTTGAACCTCATTTGAATAATTGTACCACATTTGTATGTCAAGGCACCTTGAAGATTTATATCTGAAAAAGGTCCACATGTTTTTGCTTTGTTTAGCATTAAAAGCTCGGTTTTTCCCAACCTTTAGTCCCACTCAATTATAGTAGACAAAATGAAGCGTCAAATAATAAACTGTGTCTAATTAGGCATGTTCCTGGGCTTGAGTGTTGTGGACTATCGAATGGGCTAGACCACTACTTTGTGTACGACGACTCTGGCAATATTCAATTGTAAAAGAAGCTTATTATTTGAGATATGTATGATATACGAGTATATATATTTTCTTCTAATTAAAAAAAAAGAGCAAGTTTTGTCCGAATGCGCCAGAAGAATGGTTGTGCTTTTTGAGTGTATGTATAATTTTTCTGTGATATGAAAACGTCAAGCATTGTGACGGAACATTACACGTGATTAATATTTAATCTAGTGTTTAATTTCCAACCCTTTCAAAATCGACCTTTGTACATTAAGATTTTTCACTTTAAGTATGCAACCTTTGAATCTTTTCGGAATAGTTATTCATATACATAGTTTTTACAGTCACTAATAAATGATGCTGATTATCAGAAACTTGTCATTTTATTCAGATGGGGTTGGAGAAAACTGTTCTGACTATCGGGACAGTAGTTTTTGACCGTATGATCTAGCATCCCAAATCCAAACTCCCGCATGTGTTATCAAAGACACCATCTTTGATAACACATGCGGGAGTTTATTTCATAAACAGAAAAAATACTGCCATTAATTTCAGTTTTTAAATAAATTACCATGTTAAATACTCATTAGAGCCATTATTAAAAAATACAGGTATTCGAAATTTAAACTCTCCTATCGTAAGTTCCATTACTCCTTAACTCTGTAATCTCCTAAGATTGAGGTCGAAACACCACTTAATTTATAACGGCAAAACATTAACGATAATGTTCTAGGGATGCTCGTAAAAAAATACTTTATCGTTTGCCGCTGAGCCGTTTGTAATTAAGTCGAATTAACAATTTGCTGCGCTATTCTCTACATCTGTACGCACTTAATAACTTTATCGTTCAATAATGTTCAAGAGTAAAAAGCTTAATGTGTATATAAAGACGGTGTTAGGCGACTAACAAACCGCTGCGTAATACCAACTTTAGTATTGCGACTCAATTAAAATGTAACAATTTTGGGACGGTATTAAATTGAAGCGATCCAAATATGACGCATTGCATTGCGTGTAATTTCACGGTTTTACGGTTTGTAAGTGAACAGTAATTATTATACGGCTCTTTGGCTCTTGTATAATATATTTATGCATGTATATACATTTTAATATATGAAATAATCTGTATTGAATTCTTATTACCTTTTTAGATGTAAAGGTTTAATGCAAGTGTACTTATATTTTGAATGTTGCTCCAATTTTAAAGTTAAACTTGTCAGTTTTAAATAAAATGTCTGTATTAACCAAAATACTAATCCTGAACGTTAAAAAAGTATTACGTACTAAGTATAAACACACGTCTCGAACACGCATTACTAACCGAACCCCGAATTATAGATGAGCACACGAATCGAGTACGTATTCAAGTATTTCATCAAAAGATAGCTCACTAACAAGCAGTAAGGACAACTAAACTTAACTGTCCTCTACTTACCAGTTCCACCGTCCCTATTGATATGGGTACACGGCTAAACCTTAGGGTGGTACGCAAAACGTAAATAATTCATTGACTGCCCGCATTTGTAATGATAGTGGAAATATACGAAACGGGATATCTTTTCCAGTAGCCTTGTAGATGTTCGCCACAAGAGGAAAAGTATTTTAATGTGACGTATTATGGTTGAATTAGAAACTAAATTACGTTCAAACTGTATGCAGGTTTCTTTGATATCATCATAAATATAATTTTGTCTTACTTTACTGGGGAGTGAAAAACTAATAAAAATTAAAAAATCAAGAGTTTTTTAACTAAGTGTTAGCTAAAGAAATTCTATTTATTTATTTTAAGTAATATTGTAATAATAATGCGATAATGTAATTTAGTACGGCAATAAAGCTTTCTTCAATAACATTCAAAAGTAAAAACCGCAAATTTTGCCATAAATAATGTGTAGCGGTATAAAATATGTAAAATATGTATGATTCAACAATGTATATGCCATAGAACAAATAAGTTCCGTCCGTAATAAATTAGTTTTGAATGTGGTAAATTCCAACTAATATAGTATCTAAACAAGGATGTACAAGGCTAACGACCAGCGACCATTATCAATCATTTAATCAATTTACAAATTGTCAGCAGTGAAATGATAAACATTGGAGTCACTTTTATTCGAACTTCATATTCTGTAAAAGAGGCGAAGTGTTAAAGCGAGTTAAAAAAACCTTAATTTTTGTTTCTCTTAAGTTAGTTCCTAGTTTAGACAGTAAAAAAAGTGCTTTATCGACAAAGCCCCTGTCTTTTCTGTCGAATCGATTAAAAAGTAACTAATTCAATTCAAAAACTATTAAAGGCCATACAATCATTGTAGTAATTTATGGTGACCCAGAATTTTTGATTTTAAAATCCGGGCTGTCAAACGCTCTGCTACGGAATAAAAATAGAACAGCCATATTAGACTACGGGCTTTGAATACGCGGCTTTTAGCTTTAACACTGACATTCCATTTTACTGACCTTTACTCGCACCGTCGGGGCCTCGTAATATGGAACACTCCTCTATTGTGCCGAACGGCGTGAACAGTTGACGGACATCCTCCTCAGTCTGTTGTTTGCTGAGCATTCCAACGAACAGCTTCCGATCTGTGGAGAGACACTCTATTAATTTTGGGAGCCCTTTCTCGGAACAGTTACATTCTGTTGCTAGTGTTGACGCTTGACTGTCGACTGACTTTGTTGTTCAAACCCATTTTAAAGAAATCTTAAGAGTGAATGAAATATGTATAATATTATATATAATTGAAGTAAATAGTTTTTTTTTAATTATGCCTAATGGAGAAGAGTCTTTATAATATTTTTTTTGGAGTAGCCATTATCACAGTATAGAGCAGTTCTTGTTCATGCCACGCTTTCAACTAAGTCGTAGCTATACTACTAATAACTACGGTATTTCAACTCAACGCACGAACAACAGAATGCAACAGAAACAATGAGCCACACCACATTAAGCCTAGCAGTGGTGCGTGGAGCGGCGGGCTTTGGACTTCGGTGCCATGGCTAGGAGGGTCCCGAGAAGACGGGACACGGGCGAGTGCGGGCGGCAAGTGACAGGGCGCTGTAGCGCTCGGTACATTCGGATAAGGGCGCGCGTACACAACGCCACACAAAGTGGCACCACAGTCGCGCTTCAGTCCGCAAGCACCACGGTACCTATTGATTTTGAAGGAAAAACAGCATGTTAATTTTATGTTAACAAACCGTTTTTCATATATTTACAACAATGGTTTTAAATAAACGTTTCAAAGACGTGAATGCACATACTTTACAGCCCAACAGTTTATGATAAAATCATGTGATTATAAAGGTTTATTTTCATTAAAAACTAGGACTGTATTTTTTCAAAATAGTGTGGATGTATGAGCATTTACGTGGCTGATTGTAGCGCTGTGTGCGCGCGCACTAGTTGCTACTGTTGTCAATGTTAAGTCAAGGAAGAAACAGCCTAGACAGAACCTTACAGTCAGTAGTGCATCGAGAAATTTTTACTTACTTTTTATTACACTCATTATTAGTCATTTAGAAAACTAAAAAGGGATTTTTATACTTTTATAAAAATCCCTTTTTAGTTTTCTAAATGAGTTTATACTTCCTGATGGCTTTTTTTAGAGAAGTTAAAAGTTATGAATCTAAGTAAGTAACACAAGAATTTCACACAATAAAAAATTGATGTATAATTTCTAGATGCACATAAAACAGTTATCCATACATCCTCCAAAACAGCGCCCTATCATCGGTGATGAGTGAGCCGCCGCCCCAACACGCTCCCATCACCTTGATCATCTCACATGTGATGTAACAACAACAGCTCTATGATAACACATAACACACAGTTTTAGTTAATGAAATACAACGAACAAAATTCAAATTCAGGTCAACACAAAAATTAGCACATTACACTAAAACGTTGCATGGTGATCAATGAGGGTTCCGTAGAATTAGGGTCACACATCGATATTAGGGGCTACGGAATCCTCCAGGGTTCAGTTTTGTTACGTTTTGAGACTTCTGTGTGAGCAAAACGTTACGCGTACCCCAATTTTTTTTAGCGGCTTTAAGTTAACGCGTCTGGCTCTTTACAGAAATCGGCAGTTTGTTTGTAAATTAATGACATAATAACATAAATCCACACTAATTACGCATCGAAATGAATACGAAAACAGAAATAAACAATATTTTTTACAGCACGACGATAACTAATGGTGCAGAGTGAGTGTTTTCGTTCCACGTCCAATCTCAAGAACTGTCGAGTTCACCTTGAAACATAAAATTTCTAATTTCAAAATAAGCAACCCAAAGCAAAATCTCAAAACAGTCAATTTAAGAACTATTAGTTTTATGTCTACTAGTACAATCAAAACCAAAAAATGTTAATCAAAATATTTAATATCAAATTAGTGAGCAAGGCGTACTCGACAAGACTGGACATGTTCGACCTCACTGCGCGCGCTATTTGACAGACAGTGACAACAGTACAGCCTAGGGCACGCACAACAAACGCTACCTGGGTCCGCCTATGCGCGCCGTCTCCCCGCACCCCCTGGAACACAAAAACATGCTACACACGTTTACTCCACCGCTCCACAAAACTCATTTAAGATGTGTTAGTGAAGAAATATGACTAAAGTTAAATGTTTTGATTACAAGAAAAATGTGTCTTATGACGGGGCAACACATTTCTGGTAAAATTGTAGGCGAGACTTTGTAGAGAGTGTTATGAGGAACTAAAGTTTGTAAAAATTGTCATTTGAATGTGTAAATAAATAAAAATCCATAAAGTCTCTGTTTAAAAGTGTGTTTTAATATATAAATAAAGTGTAAGTCGAATTAAAGTTTTAAAAATATTGGATAGTAAAATCAAAACACTTCTGAACTTCTGTAGTTAGACAGAAGTTCTAGAACCTAGACTATTCGCAGTTAGTTGTTATATATAATGATAGTTAACCTAGACTCTAGATTTACTATTATAATTTATATCTTAAAAAACTGGCGTATAAATTAAATTCACAACATGGTCTTTTGATAAATAAATTTCTGGTTTTCTTTTCCACTTTGAATCGCTTTCCATTAACCTTATGAACATTATATTGCAAATCTATACGACTTGACTCTCAGAAAGTAAAAATAATGAAATAGAAATCGGTTTGTTTTTATGTTTGCAAAAATTTAATTTTTGAAACTACCCTCATTTTTCTTATAAAAAATGAAAAGTAAAGTTCACGTAGGTTGAACATTCTATTTCGTTACGAAATTTTATCAGCGACGTTATGTAATTTAGACAGCGAATAGACTACTATTATATTTGTGCGCCTTTCGTGAGAGATAACAGTTTTCTAGTTCTAATCTTAACCGATGAAGTAAAAGTATGATATTGAGTATTTTACCTAGTAAATAGAATTCGAAGGTTAAATAACAAGTTATGTTTTTAGCAATATTTTTGATCCTACCGATTTTACGACAGCAAATAATGGTTCGATTTTAACGAGTTTGTATGTGATGTTACTTTTGTAGTATTTAATCTCAGTAATGGTACTTCGTATTACTTAAACTGTGATACATACTATACATACATTTAAGCCACTATCCCTGCAGAGGTAAACATAGGCACAATTTTAAACCACATTTTGGTAACTTTAACTTGGTCCCGCTCACGTAGAATTAAAGATGGGGAATTCGAGAATATGTCTACTGGGAAAGGTATGTGAGAAGGAAATATATTAGGAAGAAAGAAATGAAGCTTACACGGATGGATCAGGAAGTGTGTAAACTACAGCTTGAACATGAGGCGCTTATTAATAAATCGAAATGTTGCCTTTTTTTATGGAATAGGGGGCAAACGAGCAGACGTTCCACCTGATGGAAAGCGACTACCGCCGCTCATGAATGCCTGCAGCTCTTGACTACTTTGAGGAAAGAGTACTTTTCTTGGAGGTTTGAAGGTCGTATCGGTCTGCCTGTTCACGAGAAGTTCAAGACTAGCAATATTTTATTTCATTTTCGTCTGCGTATTTAGAGGAGTAGATAGTCATAGTTTCGTGTCACTGCTGGATGTAAGCTCTCACCTTAGAAAGGAGGTTTTGACTGATTATACAACGCTTGCCAGACGAGTTGCTATAGAGTTTTCCTTCTCTTTGCAGTGCTGTTGTTCTGTGTAGTTTGATCTCTTAGTCGGATCTTAATATATGTATGTAAAAAATAATTCTATAGGGATTTATTTATTTATTTAAAAACTGTTGCCGATAATACTTCTTTGAATATAATTTTATTTAACATTTCGAGTTTTAAAATATATAAATAATTTGCCCTTATTTCCAAATTGTATAGTAGCGAAGCTGAAAGAGTTCTTTAAAAAGTAACATTGAATTTAAGCATTCCATTTTCAATTTGGAATCCAAATTTAAAACCATAATTCGGACACTCTTCAACACTTTTAGTGTGTAGCCTTGTTCTGCTCGAAATTAAATGCAAACAACCCCCAGGTTGCGGCTGTTTGCAGTTAAGAAACCGTTGGAGCAGTAACGAATTGTACTGAAATACAATCGTCTTATGTAAACTACCACCTTCTTATGGACGTCTTAAACAAAATTACGGCATAAATAAATTCCTAATAATTTCTAACCAGTTCAAAAAAGGAATACCTACTTTTTTGTTGTAAAGTGGATCTTGAATCTTATTTTTATGTTCTTTTCTTGCACACATAAGTATGAGAGTATGTATTGGAGGGAACTTTTAAGACGATGGTACGTCAAACTCAATTTTCTAACCGCGATATATATATTTGTAATCGTAAATAAAATTTATTTCTGATATACAACAAATAAACTACTTTTAGATTTTCCTTTACTTGTTCTATGAGATATTTCGTTACATGTTATAAGGTTAGGTTATTCGGACGTACCATATAGGTTTTGATGTATCTCAGAAAAGTTTTAATACATAATAATTATACATATCTTCTAGCTTCAAGGGACCGCATATATCACTATTTGATATCGAAACTAATTAAACTTGAAAATTTAGAATTATGATTATTATTTTCAACAATTTCAAATTGGTAAAACTAAAGATCAAAAGTGGATAGCATGCCGTCTGTTCCCAAACATTGTTCGGTATTATTAGAAGCGGTGCGGTCATTAAATTCAGATTTATACCCGGCTAGCCGGATATCTCCCCCGTGCGACTCTGCTAATGACCATATACTGAGATAATTTCACACAGGACTTGATAATAAGGCTGCGGATATACGCAATCTTGAATGCTTATTTTAGCTTTGTAGACTGTGTTTTAACACGTTTTTATTCGCTTTTTTTGTTTTGTTTTTAAAAAGATAACTCCCGCATTAGGAGTATGTCCTGTGTTGCAGGAGACTTTACAAACACACATGAAACGGACACTAAGAACACCCAGACAGAACAACAACCACAGAAAATGTCGTCCATGTGGGGATCGAACCCACAACACTCAGCGTAGTAGGAAGCGACGTGTCGACTGCTTAAATCACCACGCCATCAGTGCGTTTCGCTTATAATAATATCTTTCACACCGAAACTGTCCATTACTTCATCTATCTACAGTCTATTTGTCCATCCAAAGGTTGCTTGTAAGTAATTGCTTTTTAGCGGTAATGCGCCATTTGTACACGGTGATTAACTTGAAATACTATTGTATGTATAATATACTAAACTGGTGTACAATAAAGTTTATTCTATTCTATTCTAACCATATCAAGAAGTTTTTGAAACTTAGAACTTTAAATATAGTTTTAGTTTGAATTAGAACCAGAAGGTTGTAACTAGAACTTTTTGTATCTAAGTGTTACCACACATATGTACAACCAATTGTATGATCTGGTTTTAAGACTAATGCACGTAAAGTATTTAGTGAATACTGTCTCTATTTAATACTATTTTGTTTGGGAAAGTGTATTTACGATTATTCTAAATTTAAATGTAGAATTGCACGTTTTAGCCACCTTTCGTTATAAAATTCATTTCTGTTACCTTAGCCGTATAAATAATCAACTTTGTGAAGCACCGGTCTCGTTTGAATACCGTATGTTACCAAAAATACATTCTAAGGGCTGTATAGAACCCTTCAAATGAATGTCTAAGCATAATCCCGTAATTAATTTTAAAATATATTCATATAAATATCTCTATGGCTTAACGTTCTTAGGTACAGGTCAAAAGTATTTGGGGTATTTTATTTAGCCCAAGGGTAGCTTAGCGAATAAATTATAGCAAAAAGGCTTTAATGTAAATTCGTTTGGCGCCTTGTTTGTAAGGATTAGAATTTTAAGTTTTGATTACAAATAGGATTTAAATTTTAATAAATTTGAGAAAGAAGATTAATATTTTCTTATTTTTCAACTTTTAGTTTAAAAAAGAAATATAACAATATAAAGGGCTATATTTACGTCTTATCTTCTTCCTTCGAGCCTTTTTCCATTCTAGATTGGGGTGGGCTTTAAGTCTTCTACGATACAGCTGAATTTCAATTTTTTACTTGTCCGTGTGATGACGGATTAAGAATACGGAATGTCACCACCCCTGTTCATCCCGTGGGTGTCGTGAGAGACGACTAAGGGAGCAAACTGCGCAGGAAAACCGTATAGTAGGCCAAAACCTCCTTTCTAATGAGAGGCCTATGTTCAGCAGTGGACTGTTAAAGGCTGTTGATGATGATGATGATGAGGTGAAGCGATTGCCATCAGACCTCCACGACCCAAATACTAGGCGATATTGAAGTTCTGTAGAAAGACTTATGTTTAACTTTTTAGAGCT